TTTTTTTTCAACGGCTCTATTTTTGTTAACAAATTAAAAAATGAGTAAACAAATTGGGGAAAAATGGTCTCGCAAATGTATACTCAAACGATTCAGAATCGTCTGAAACGTGGAGATTTATGGGTCCCTCGGAACTTTTTTTTTTAAACGATATCTTTTTTGTTAACAAATTAAAAAATGATTAAACAAATTCGGGGAAAATTGTCTCGCAAATGTATATTCAAACGATTGGGAATCACCTAAAACGTGGAGATTCATTGGTCCCTCGGAACCTTTTTTTTCAACGGGTCCATTTTTATTAACAAATAGAAAAATAAGTACACAAATTCGGAAAAAAATGTCTCGCACGTGTATATTCAAACGATTGAGAATCACCTGAAACGTGGAGATTGATTGGTCCCTCGGAACCGTTTTTTTCAACGGGTCCATTTTTATTAACAAATACAAAAATGATTAAACAAATGCGGAAAAAATTTTCTGGCACGTGTATATTCAAACGATTGAGAATCACCTAAAACGTGAAGATTCATCGGTCCCTCAGAACCTTTTTTTTCAACGGGTCCATTTTTATTAACAAATACAAAAATGATTAAGCAAATTCGGAAAAAATTGTCTCGCAAATGTATACTCAAACGATTGAGAATCGTCTGAAACGTGGAGATTAATTGGTCTCTCGGAACTTTTTTTTTAAACTGCTCTATTTTTGTTAACAAATTGAAAAAGGACTAAACAAATTCGGGAAAAATTGTCTCGCAAATGTATACTCAAACGATTGAGAATCGTCTGAAACATGGAGATTTATTGGTCCCTCGGAACTTTTTTTTTTAAACGGCTCTATTTTTGTTAACAAATTGACAAATGACTAAACAAATTCGGGAAAAATTGTCTCGCAAATGTATACTCAAACGATTGAGAATCGTCTGAAACGTGGAAATTTATTGGTCCCTCGGAACTTTTCTTTTTAAACGATATCTTTTTTGTTGACACATTCAAAAATGATTAAACAAATTCGGGAAAAATAGAGCCGTTGAAAAAAAAAGGTTCCGAGGGACCCATAAATCTCGACGTTTCAGGTGATTCCCAATCGTTTGAATATATATTTGCGAGACCATTTTTCCCGAATTTGTTTAAACTTTTTTCAATTTGTTAACAAAAAATATATCGTTATAAAAAAAAAGTTCCGAGGGACCAATAAATCTCCACGTTTCAGACGATTCTCAATCGTTTTAGTATACATTCGTGAGACATTTTTTCCGCAATTCGTTCAACAATTTTTCGAATTTTTTAGAGTGAACTCATTTTTCATTCCGTCCATCGGTTGTTTCTTGATCGTACCCCCACTCCGCTTTATATCGATTGTTTTCGTACGTCACGGTTTCCTCGAATTATCGATACTCTCGGTTTCACGCTGTGCCGAATTATCTACACTCTGGGGCTCGCGCTCTGTCTTATCCATACTCACGGGCTCCGAACATTATCGACACGCACGGGCTCTGAAAATTATCGACACTCACGGGCTTGCGACCTGTTTTACTTACAGGTACGGGCTCTCGATCTGCTTTACTTACAGGTACGGGCTCTGACCCTGTTGAAGGTTTTGTGCAGGCGCTGGCAATCTCCCCTATAATCTCTGATAGTACTCTTGTCATTTGTCATAGTTTATTGGAAGAAAAATAAACCATTTAATATAAAGACTTGATGGATTTGCTATCAATCATACTTACAAACGATTTCGCATCGATTTAACTTCTACCGAATCGTGTGCCAGTTATTTTTGGAAAGTATAGTGCCAACTTTTAGAAATCTTGCACATTTTTTTTGTAGTTCCTTAAAAAAATAATAATAAAAAGTTACCGGTGTAGTTGCAAATATAAATTTCTACGTAGCTTTCACTTGCAAAAAAGTTACAAATGATGTAAATTATTATAATAACGATTTCATTTACTGAGAGTATCTACTTTTGAGAAACTAATGAATCCCGCGATGATGATGATGCACAACAAACTTCAAAGTAGTACCTAGCACCCAAGTGGGAGCACGGTTCGCGTCGTTAACACAGTTTACCATTTTTCTTCGATACAGAAAGTTAAAACTAACCGAAAAATAAGGGATTAAATTCGAAGTTATGCTAATTGGAACTCTCCACATATCGATCCTAATAACGAACATATAATCATTTAGAGTTGTTTGAAAAATGTTGAAAAATCACAGTTTATTAGTGATAATATTACGTAAGGGTGAATTTATTTAATAGCTGAAAAACATAAATATTGCGTAGATTGGTTGTGGAAAGTTATTTGGATGTTTTTAAAATAAAAGGAAACTTGAGGGAAAAAAGTGTATGTTTTGTGCGTCTGATAGGCGATACATTTGTGTTGTTGGAGTTGTCATAGGCCCCATCGGTGTCTATGTATAATTCGAGGTGAATATAACCATCAAATCATAATAAACCTGCCAATTGCAGTAATTTCCCATATATTAACAAATGGCATTACGAATAAATCTGTGGTACATGTGGAGTAAATTTGTTTACGTTATGCACTTGTATACGTGTGTGATAGAGGCAAACATAACCTTCAATAATCCTCTGTGCGTCAACCGATTAACATGAATATTTTTTGTCGTCAACCCATATTTTTTTTTGCAGAATTAGGAACGCGTCTTAGATAACGTTAAATTGAGGATAGTGTAGAGGAAAAGAGTTGAGAGGCGAAGAGGAAAATGTCGGAGATTATATACCCTCAGGGGTGTAGACCAGTTAGCGATGACTTGGGGGCTGATGAGTTGATCAGGCGATTGAAGGTAAAAAAATACATTTTTCATAAACTTAATTAAGTAGTTAAAAATTAATGAATTTCGCTTCTTTGGTTGTATACAACGTCAAATATAGTATTCATTAATTTTCTATTGAATCTTTCGTATATATGAATTTATATAACGAACAACTAATTCGTTGCAGACATGTCAAAAGATATTTTTGTTTTATGATAATATAAAACATTACGAAAAAACTTTTCGATTTTTCGTTTTTATAACTTATCTTCTTTTTCTGGTTTTAAAATAACGACATCGCTAAAAAAATGAAAAAAATAAGATAACTGTTGAACTAGAGCCCCCCACCCATAAATTAGTTTTTTTATGGGATCAAATTTGAGAAAAATTTGGAGATCCTCTAAATTAAGGGCCTGTTAATCTATCCAAGTCTTTAGGCCCTGAATTTATAAATTTGAACGCGAGGAGTCCTTCCTACCATGTACCAAAAACATTACAACGAGATTTTTTGTGTCCTTCTTTAAGAAGTGTCTTTCCCTAAAGTTTGACATTTTCGGGATTATTGGGATTTTCCCGGTTCCTTTCTATGCGTAACTTATAACTTAAAAATGTTGAAAATTTGAGTTTCAGGTATATACTAATTGTCATAGTCAAATTCTTTTAAAATAACTGTAAAGAATTAATAAACCTTCTTCCATTGAGCTAACTCCCGGTCAATTTCAGACACTAGCACATACTCTCCAAGCGATGGGCCAAGATGAGGGTATGTATCAACAGTACATTCCTCTGGCCCTCCACCTAGCTGAAGAACACTTTTTGAGCCACCCCAGTAAAGACGTTCAACTGCTGATCGCCTGTTGCATCGCAGATGTCTTGAGAGTTTACGCCCCAGAAGCACCATACAAAGATGCTGACCAGGTGAAAGGAATATTTCTCTTCCTGATAAAACAACTTGCAGGCCTGAAAGACCCAAAAGATCCCGCATTCAAACGTTACTTCTACCTTTTGGAGAATCTTGCCTATGTTAAGTCCTTCAACATGTGTTTCGAGCTTGAAGACTGTCAGGAGATCTTCTGTGCCCTTTTCTCTCTGATGTTTAAAATAGTGAACGACGAGCATTCAGGAAAAGTTAAGAGTTTCATGCTAGAAGTCCTCTGTCCCCTAATAACGGAATCAGACACAGTGAGCAACGAACTCCTCGATATAATTCTAATGAATATTGTAGAACCTAACAAGACCCAAAAGAAAAATGCCTATTGGCTGGCGAAAGAACTTGTAATAAAATGCAGTGACACACTAGAACCCTATATCCAGGCTTTTTTTAACCATGTGCTGATTTTGGGTCGAGAAGAGAAGGGCTTGCAGATATGCAAAAAAGTGTATGACTTGATTTACGAGCTGAATCATATCTGTTCCAGTATTTTACTCTCAGTCCTACCACAACTTGAGTGCAAATTGAAATCGACCCTTGAAACTGAGAGACTGAATGCAGTTGCCCTTTTAGCCAGAATGTTCTCAGAAAAAGGTTCCCAATTGGCCACTCAACACGCCCAATTGTGGCGAGCATTTTTAGGTAGATTTAACGACATAAGTGTCGCAATTCGTATAAAGTGTGTCCAGTACTCGATGCACTTCCTACTGAATCATCCGGAGCTCAGAAAGGATATCACAGACACCTTAAAAATGCGACAACATGATGCAGACGAGAATGTTCGTTATGAAGTTGTGATGGCGATTGTATCAACGGCACGAAGAGACTTTGAAGTAGTGTCGGATAATGAGGATCTCCTGGAATTTGTTAAAGAGAGAACTCTCGATAAAAAATTCAAGATCAGAAAGGAGGCAATGTCAGGACTTGCCATGATTTATAAAAAACATCTGAATGATGCTGATGTACCTCAGGCTACGAAGAAGGCAGTGACATGGATCAAAGACAAAATCCTAAATGGATATTATATGACGGAAATGGATGACAGGTTACTAGTGGAGAGATTGTTAAATACCTGTTTGGTACCCTATCAATTACCAGCTGAAGAAAGGATGAAAAAACTATACCATCTATTGGGAACAATTGACGATAATGCTTCGAAAGCATTTGTGGCACTTCAGAAACACCAGTTGGCTGTTCGAAGAGCAGTTATGGAATGGGTGGAGATTATTAAGAAACCAGATGCTAACAATGAACTCATGGCAAAGGTGCATCAGATCTCTCGGTTCTTGCCAGATCCCATGAAAGTTATGGAGTTTCTTCAAAAGTTCTCAGCGCACATGAAAAAAGACCCGACTCTCCTCCAGGGAATGGAAGCTATTGTCCAACCTACTGTTTCATGCAAAGAGTGTGCAGAGACAATAGCAGCTGTTCTAAAGAAACTTGGCCAACCAGTGATGACAAATCTTTACTATAATACCATAAAAAAACTCTTGGAACGAGTGAGTTCTGTACTGATCGATGAGGAAGCAATCAGAATCTTCATTGGCTACGTCCACGATTGTCTAAAAGGTGGCAATGTAATTGAAGAAATTGGATTGAATCCCAGTAATGCTGGAGAAAAAGGTCTTCGTCTGCTGGTGATGCTGTCCTTCGTATTTGGGCCTCATTTCCTTCACAATGATATTCTCCTGCAACTTGTGGAGCTTTTAGAGATTGAAGACGAAATGGTGGGTGCATTGGTCCTATCAATTTTCACATTCCTGGGAAAGTACAAGCCTCTTTGCGAAGTTGCACCTGATATTATGCAGAGAATGGTACCAATTTGCAAGAATTTTGCTCTATCAGGAACTTCGAAACAAGCTAAACAAGCTATTCGCTGTATTTTTGTTAACATGGTAAATATTCATGACACAATATTTCCTGATATAATCGACAAGATCAAAACGACATTGACACCAACATCCAGCGATTACAGAACATCGATCGTTACACTGGGTCACATTGCTTATAATCTACCAGACAAGTATCATGTACAAATAAAAAATATGGTGTCGAGGAAAATAGTGAAAGAGTTACTAGTGAAGGAGACAACGGAATCCACTGCTGATACTATTGAGGGTGATTGGTGCAAAGAGGAAGAGTTACCGGAGGAAACTCGTTGTCGATTGGAGGGACTGAAATGTATGGCGCGGTGGTTACTTGGATTGAAAACAGATAATTTGTCAGCGCAAAAGACATTTAGGATGTTGAATGCTTTTGTTGGAAATAAGGGAGATCTTCTTCAACAGGGGAGACTAAGTCGTGCTGAAATGAGCTGGTTACGCTTGCAGGCTGGCTGCTCTATGCTCAAAATTTGTGAACAGAAGGGAGTAGGGGATCAGTTCATCGCTGACCAATTTTATAATTTATCATTACTCATGGTCGATGAAGTTAAGGAGGTCAGAGAGGCATTTGCTGCTAAATTGCACAGAGGCTTAGGTACTGGAATTCCGAACAAGTGTTTGCCATTGGATTTCATGGGTTATTATGCGCTTGGAGGAAAGGAACAGGATAAGAAGCAGAAAGCACAGCTGAGGACATTCATGGTAACTGATATCAACAGGAGAAGGGATTACGTTAAAGCACTTTCTCTTGGGACTGTTGAGAGAGCAATGGGGCAACTACCACACATTCTACCTGATTACATGCTGGTTTTCGCTGTTCCAATACTAGCTCATGATCCTGAATTCACAAATCACAAGGACATTAGTCAACTAAGAATTATTGAACAGTGTTTGAGATTTATTCTTGAACCACTTATCACCAAAAATGAATATTACTGTTATGGATTTTATAAGAATCTTATTGAAAAAATGAAGAACAACAAGGATGCTGTAAGACCTGATGATGATGAGATGAATTACAAATTGTGGACTGTCTGTGATCTTGCAATGAACGTTATTTACACTAAAACGACAAATTTTGACATGAAAGAGTTTCCGAGTGAACTACGAATTCCTACCATGTACTTCAAGAGGGCTGATGAGCTTATCAGCAATTCGATAAATTATTTACCATCTGAGATGCAGATTAATATGACTAGTCCTAAGGGAAAAGGTAGTCTCATTCATAATATCAATGAAAAGCCTACCAGGAAGAAGGGAAAACATACCAGAGAGACAGTTGGCATTGGACCTAATGAAACTGATGCTAGGGTGAGATCTTTTTTTTCTTTTTATCTCTTCTATTTGGAAATTCCTTTAATATTAGTGGTAGGGTGCGAGAACGAAATGTGTCGATTTAATTCTCACAAAAGTTTCTTTCTTTAAAATTTTTCTCAACATTGTTTTTTAGGAAAGAATAAGACCTAGGAGAAATATTTATATAGTAATTATAAAGTTGTCAATTTATTCGGAGATATATCGTTGACACTCAAATGCTCTAAAGTTGAAATTACTTATCACGTTTTGTTCATCTACCACTGACTTTTATAAACGATTTTGTGAATGTAGAAACAGGAGATAATTATTCAAGTAGAATTAATTAAATTTTCAAGCTGCAAATTGGAGAGATGGAGTGCATTGATGCACAGGTAAATAATTGATAATTCCTGTGCTTCTTAATTTTTCCATTTTTTGTCTAGCATAAATGGATACATTCATGCATTAGTGATAATTGTCGACATCAATTACAGTAGTAATTAGTAGATTTTTCCTTCTTAATTTATGAATTTACTAGATTATTTAAGCCTAGAGAGATCTACACTTGACCTGCCGTTTAAGTGAAACACAACTGAACCAAGATCACTAAAATTGATTCAATTTTGAATAAAAATGCATGCTTAACCCATTGAAAAAGAACATCATCTCATTGTGAGGAATGAACATTAAGTTCACATGTATTATCTGGAAATTATCAGTGCGGAAACCACCCCAGAGATTATGAATAAATAATGATAAGAGAGGAAAACCTGAAGATGAATCATAATCTATTGTATTAATCAGAGATTTCGCACGTTTACAGAAATGTAATTAATTATACGAGAACACAAGAACAAAAAACATATGGGGCATTTCTGAGTGAGCTCGACAACGTTCAAACCCCTTACCCCCTTCGATTGTATCGCCGATTTTTCCCATATTGTATTGTAGCCATTAGATGACTATTCATTTTTTTAAGTTTTTAACGATACCCAGAACCCGCTACGATTTTTTTTCATTTTTTCAACTTTTACGAGCATAACTCCCGTAAATATTAACTGATTTAAGGCCCGGGTGGACTATCTATCGGACGTCGACTTTTGTTTAAATTTTATCTTTTTAACATGAGATATATTAAAATTTGAGATCAATTTTGTGTAGCGAGAAGTACTTGAATGGACATGAAATAATTAAAAAAAGAGGAAAAAATATTGAAGGGCGCTACCCTGATGGTTCATACCCAGAGTCCAACTCTGGGTTGTGTCCAGCAACCCAGTCTGGGTTAGGCAAAAACACAGAGTTGAATTTGAATGTTAAATGGTTAAATGGTGAATTTGGGGGAGATCTAAACGCAGGGTGTACTATGATCTTTTTTCGATTGTTACTGAGTTATTTTAAGCATATAATGATATTGTTGAAGGATGTGGATAATTAAATGAATATATTTGAACGCTAATGTGCTAGCTCTGGGTAAAATCCAAAACCCAGACAGATGATTTTTATTCATTAACGAGGTAGCAATGTTGGTGAACAATTCTGGGGATAACTGTATGTTCAGAGCGACTATGGGAGGTATATTAAAATAAGGGGAAAGGGGGCAACGATTGTTTGAGGGATGAGATGCCAACTCTGGGTCAACACTCGGTCACAGTCTCCATCCCAGAGTTGTCTTTCCCTTTATTTAATATCTTTTTAATATCGGGAAAAAAAATAGGGGTGAATATAAAGAATCATTTAACCAATTGAATGATTGTAGGATCACCTAGACGTGCGGAGGCGACTTGGATTGTATTTAAAGTGAGAAATATCAACTCTGGGTGAACACTGGGTCACAGTCTCCATCCCAGAGTTGTCTTTCTCTTTATTCAATATCTTTTTAATATCGGGGAATAAATAATAGGGGTGAACGGAAAGAATCATTTAATCATTTGAATGATTCCAGTGTCACCTAGAAGTGCGGAGGAGACTCAGGATGTATTTAAAGTGAAAAATATCAACTCTGGGTCAACACTGGGTCACAGTCCCCTACCCAGAGATGTCTTTCTCTTTATTTAATATCTTTTTAATATCGGCTAATAAAAAATAGCGGTGAATAAAAAGAATCATTTAAACATTTGAATGATTCTAGGGTCACCTAGACGTGCGGAGGCGACTTGGCATATATTTAAAGTGAAAAATATCAACTCTGGGTCAACACTGGGTCACAGTCTCCATCCCAAAGTTATCTTTCTCCTTATTTAATTTTTTTCAATATCGGGAAATAAAAAATAGGGGTGAATAAAAAAATCATTTCACCATTTGATTGATTCTAGGGTCACCTAGATGTGCGTAGGCGACTTGGAATGTATTTAAAATGAAAACTATCAACTTTGGGTCAAGACTGGGTCACAGTCCCCAACCCAGAGTTGTCTTTCTCTTTATTTATTTTTTTTTTATATCGGGGAATAAATAATAGGGGTGAAAGAAAAGAATCATTTAATTATTTGAATGATTCCAGTGTTCACCCAGAGTTGATATTTCTCACTTTAAATACAATCCAAGTCGCCTCCGCACATCTAAGTGACCCTATAATCATTCAAATGATTAAATGATTCTTTTTATTCACCCCTATTATTTCTTTCCCGATATTAAAAAGATATTAAATAAAGAGAACGACAACTCTGGGATGGAGACTGTGACCCAGTCTTCACCCAGAGTTGATATTTTTCACTTTAAATACAATCCAAGTCGCCTCCGCACGTCTAGGTGACCCTATAATCATTCAAATGATTAAATGATTCTTTTTATTCACCCCTATTATTTCTTTCCCGATATTAAAAAGATATTAAATAAAGAGACGGATAACTCTGGGTTGGGGACTGTGACCCAGTGTTGACCCAGAGTTGATATTTTTCACTTTAAATATATTCCAAGTCGCCTCCGCACGTCTAGGTGACCCTAGAATCATTCAAATGGTTAAATGATTCTTTTTATTCACCCCTCTTTTTTATTTCCCGATATTAAAAAGATATTAAATAAAGAGAACGACAACTCTGGGATGGAGACTGTGACCCAGTGTTCACCCAGAGTTGATATTTTTCACTTTAAATACAATCCAAGTCGCCTCCGCACGTCTAGGTGACCCTAGAATCATTCAAATGGTTAAATGATTCTTTTTATTCACCCCTATTATTTATTCGTTGACATTGGAATGATAGTAAATGAAGAGAAAGACAACTCTGGGATGGAGACTGTGACCCAGTGTTGACCCAGAGTTGGCATTTCATCCCTCAAACAATCGTTGCCACCCTTCCCCTTATTTTAATACACCTCCCGTGGTCGCTCTGAACATACAGTTATCCCCAGAATTGTTCAGCAACATTGCTACCTCGTTAATAAATAAAAATCATGTGTCTGGGTTTTGGATTTTACCCAGAGCTTGCACATTAGCGTTCAAACATATTCATTTAATTATCTACATCCTTCAACAATATCATTATATGCTTAAAATAACTCAGCAACAATCGGAAAAAGATCATAGTACACCCTGCGTTTAGATCTCCCCGAAATTCACCATTTAACCTCAACTCTGTGTTTTTGCCCAACCCAGACCGGGTTGCTGGACACAACCCAGTCTGGGTTCACTCTGGGTTGGCTCTGGGTGCCAACCATCAGGGTAAAGATCGATATTATTTAAAAGGGATTTACCAAGTTCGCTAAAAAATAATAAAAAATACGTAGCTTACTATTGCATTTAGCTGCCACTCAATCTTCTGGAGAGCGATGGTAAGCTGCGGAATTTTTATTATTTTTTTATAAGTTTGGTAGATCCCTTTTGAACAATATCGCTCTTTCGCGCCCTTCAATAATTTTTCGTCTTTTTTTTAAATTATTTTTTTATCACCATTCGAGTAGCTCCCGAAACACAAATTTAATCCCAAATTTTGATGTATTTTAGGCTAACAAGATAAAATTTAAACAAAAGATGTCAATCAATAGATAGTCCACCCGGGTGTAAACATTTTTTTTAATTTTCGTTTTTTTTTATCGCCGATTCAATCAACATGGCTAAATATTTTTTGTATATCACTTTTCCTGAGATTTCATCATTAAAGAGTCAAGAATCCCGCTGTGTCTGACTTGGACCCGTTTTTTGTCTCCGAAAAAAACAGTAAATTTGTGGTACCAAAAAAGGAACCGTCACCAAAGGAAACCATAGTTCTTCCATTTCATATGTATCAGTTTAGGTTAGAACAGTTTTAATGGTAAAAATTCCATAATTGGATAATTTTTTCGTATGGGAACTTGAATATACTATTTGAATTTCCCGTAGGGAAAAAATTGCCACACTAACCGGTTAAATGATAATATTGCTTTTTTCATAAGAGAGGGGAAGTTTTTATAACGTTCCACATTTTTGTGACGTCAAAGGAGTCGTTGGATAGGATTTTTGGATTAGGTAGGAAGGGGAACAGGATAATTCTCGATATAATTGTTACAAGAAAAATTACTGAAAATATGGATAGTCCAGACCGGGATTTAAACCCTGGACCTTCCGATTATGTATCGGGTTCTCTCCCAACCGAGCTATCCGGCTCCTAGCCATTTCTTCATTTGACTTTTCATGTATATAACGAGCACCGCCGTCCTTCATACGGTTTCCACATTTTTTCCATAGAAGAGGGGAAGTTTTCCTCATGATTGATTTCAACATCGCGTTTTCTGGCCAATAAAATAATAAAATTGCCTTATTTCTTTATCCTGGAGCACTATATTGTTATTTAGATGAACAATATCACATTACTGGAATTGTCGTAATCTTTCGAATCACAATGACTATTAGACGGTATAATTGCACCACGGCTAGTTTTCATGGTTTAGTTCAGAAAAATCGCTGAGAAAAGATTGAATAATGACATATCTCCCAAAAGGGTGTGATAAAATGGAAGAACGACGATTTCCATGGTGAAAGTTTTTTTTTCGGTACCACAAATTCATAAAATTTTTTGGAAAAAAAAATATAATCGGCTTCAAAACAGAAAAAGCGGAATTTTTAACCCTTTTAGGTAAAAGAAATGAAACCTCATGAGACGTCAATAAAAAAATATATAGCCATGGGCATTTATTGGCGATTAAAAAAACGAAAACTTTGAAATAAAAAGAATTTTCAATTGATTAATATTTACTGGGGTTACGCTCTTAAAAGCGGAAAAAATGAAAGAAATCACAGTGGGTTTTTGGTGTCGCCAAAAAATCTCGAAATTGAATAATGCCCTAATGATGTGAACAATATGGGAAAAAATCAGGGATACAATATAAGAGGATAAGGATTTGAACCTCGTTGAGTTCACTCAGAAAAACAGATCTATAAATCTCGACGGTAATTTGAAAATTTGATTTTAAAAACAGTATTCCACCTCTCCGTAGTTGAAAGGTGGCTTTCCATTATGGCATGGGCAAAAACGATTCACTTCAGTATTCCCAATTCTTTCTTTCGAAATGCTTCCATGAATACAAGTGGTCCATATTCATGTGAATTTTCAAATTTGAATCTTTCGTCAATAATAGCAAGTTTTCACTCCTAGAATCAGTTATATACTCTATAATTCCAAAAACTATTCCTTAATTCATCGTCTGATTAGATTTACTTTATTTTTTTTACCTTAAAAAAAAATCAAATTTTACCAAGACCTATTATTTGCAGTCCGAACTTTGCAGATTAGTTTCGACATGAATTTCCAAATTTGACTAAATACCATCTATTTTTTTATTTAACAGCCTGCTGAAGCATCGGAAACAAGGATTCAACTTCCGGGAATGGAAGAAGAGGTAAATAACTTTCTCAATCCATTGAACAAAAAAACTCAATAGCATACGTATTAGCATTTGGTCTTTATTTGAAGGTATGAAAAAATGAAATAGGATATTCTATAAGATTGTGAGTAGGATTTTCTATAGGAATTTTCGCGTAAAATTTAATTCTCATAATCATCACATGACCCCACATAAACTAGATGGCCTTTATATGACTTCGATATAACGTCCAATAAGTCTTTTTTCTCTCATGAGCCTCAAGGCTCTACAGTTCTAAAAGACATTGAAAATGAATTAGGACTAAGCAAAGATAACTTTTCATTTACAATGACTAAACATTAATTGCTTAATCAAAGAATCACCAGAATCGTCTTACCACATCGTGATTGGATTCATACGGCTGTCAATTTCTCAACTATATCACATAAAAGTTGAAAAAAAAACTTATTCTCAAATACAATATTTTTTAATCCAGTAACAAATGGCGCAATCTGTATGATAATCTGATATAATGAAGAGGACATCGAAGCCGATTAAGAGTCTATAGAGTCTATACGGAGAAAATTGCAAAAACAAAAAACACAACACGTACATTCCACGTCTAACATTGTATATTTGGTCTAGGTACACCACATTTCTTTACATTCATAAAAAAAATATTGAAAATAAAAACTAGCTCTTAAGGTTGTTGTCGTGTAAACCCGTTTTTCGACAGATTTTTTTCAAATTTTTGGACAACAAAAAACCAATCGTCAGTTTCTGAGCTAAGATATGATTTTTTGAATTAACATGAGTTCAAATGCATTTCTCCGTTTTATTTTAAAAAAAACCACTCGACATTTTTTGATGAAATTAACACAGAACGTAGAAATAGTGACCATCAATATACTGAAAAAAAAAGAAAGTGATCGTCAGTTTCGTAGTAGAGTATTAAATTTTCAAAGTAGCATTATTTCTTCCAGTGGGCGGAGCGCATGGGTTTGTTGCGCGCGACGCGACAACAACGCTTTTTGCTCGAGTGGCGCGAATCTATTTGGAATAGTCCATGACGAATCAAAGGGACGATTCATTATAAATGAAATAAATACATTGAGTGAGAAAGAGAGAGACATGAAAACAGAGACACGCTGCGCGCGGTTGCCACGATCGGCACCATTTAGCGTTAGCTGTGTGTACATGTATCCATGCATGGTAGATTCTTGTGTGCGTGAGTCGAGTGGAACTGTACACCCGCAAAAGTTTATATTCTAACTCGTATTCTTCGCTTAGCGGAAGATCAACCCGGAGCGTAGTAAATTTTAAGCCTGACTCTCTCGCGACAACAACATTAACATGTTTGAATGTTCCAGTGCAAATTCAGATCTAGGTTCTAGACAAAGATGATCAAAATAGGATGGGTATTTCAATTGGGAAGTAGCAAGATAATACCTCGGGCAATATGGGAGTCGAATCGGGTTCTTATACTCTTATGGCACTTATATCTTATGGGATGATTTAAAGATTACCTCGGATTATACACGAATAATACGGAAATCATATGAGACTATATGGATTGATGAAGAGTCATGCAGGCTTGCATAGATATCGTATGGAGTTGGTATGGGAAAGTATGGGAATACTGTGAACTTAGTTAATGGCAGAAGGGAGTAATGGAAAATTTATGGTTCCATGAACCCCATTCAAATGTATTTATGTTATTGCGGCCGGTAAAACGCGTTTCTAACCTCGCTTCGCTCGGATAAAAACGCGTTTTCAGTCACAATGACATAAAATAGCATCATAATCACGGCGAAAAAAGTGATTCTGACTCATGAGCGTTATAATCCTCCTCTCCGACTCGGACTATAAAGCCGCATTCGTCAGATTCCCTTTTTCCGTCCTAGGCGTGAAAAATACTATTGTTTTTAATTAGTTCTACAGTGGTCCTATAATATATAATTTTTTAAATCGATTTTGTCATTTCACTGTCGAATTCGAAAAATTAATTAATAATACGTCAATATTTAATGTTTTGATTCATTTGATTTTTCAGATTGACGAACCGCCTGCAAAAAGAACGCGAGAATCCGATAACTTAAGTAAATAATTGGAAAAGCAGTCTACCAATTGTTAAAAATGAATGAATTCGTCACCTGCGCTGGACAATTTGAAACGTATGAAGCATTTAACGGTGTTTGAAAGGAAGGATAAACAGCCACATGAATGGAAAATATGAAAATAAACATTAAAAATTAGAAAACAGAATATTTTGGTTATATACAACAATTAATAATACCTAAGTCGTTCGCGTGATGTCTAGAACCTTAAGCTGATAAGATACCGATACGATTTCAAACCTTTTAACAATTTGAAAAATTTCAATATAATTTCAATATTTCCTTATAAGATTTAGGTTTCAGGTAACTTTCACACATTGGCATTTTTGGCATGTAGAGAAGAGATAAATGAAAGCGAAATGGGAAAAAGAAAGACACTTTCATGTCATTACTTCATCCGCAAAGTGGCTTCATTTCTTCTGAAAAGGCAAAACAATTATCGCTTATAATACCACGAGAGGTTGGAAATTATCGGAATATTTACTAATGGGTGCGTTGCAAACAAATGAGTGCGTTAAATTTTCCAGGTTAAAAAAAATTTTTCTGGAAAACTTAACAAACTCATTTGTGTGCAGGGAATCTTGAGGTAAATATTTCGATAAATTTCAAAGCTCGAGTGGTATTCGGGGGATTATTTTTCCCGTCAAATTTGAGTCAGTAGAATTACACCATGAGACAATGGTCAAGAAATACTCGATAAATAACACAATTAAATTCAATCTGTCGATTCCAATCAGTGGTTAACCCAATCCAACAGGTTTTTATTTTATATATAATAGGTAAGTGACGAAATTATCGAAAAATTATCAGTTGTAATACCGAGTTACCTCGTCAAATGGTGCGATTCTATTGGCTGAAAGTTGGCGGGAAAAAATAATCACTGTTAATTTATTGATGCAACAATTCATTTAATTAATGAGCCATTGAATTCTGTTCCATCATACTCAGCTTTTGCTTCTATTCCATACTTACCTCACCACCATTTATCTAAGTTAAAAGACAATTTTCGACCAAAAGTGAAGGCAAAAATAGTTGAGGCAGATTTTGCGGCATTTTTTCTAACTATCCTGTCAATTTAGTGGAGATAATATAAGAAAAAAATAGATGAATAAGATGTTTTTGGCATTTTATTTTACAATGGAAAATTCAATTTCATAATAAAGAAAGATTTAAAATTTAAGACATTTTTTTTCACTGAACTTCAAGTGCGACTAGGTGGACAACCAATAAAAATAAAGACAAGACGAGGAAAAGTCAATTGTAACATTTCTTATAGAGGCAAAGAATCTGCTGACTTCCTAGCTGACAATTAATTTTTTTCAAGAAATATTATGCAGATGTACGTGAATTCACAATTTGGCACATTACTTTATCAACCTCCTGAATATTTTGTGATGAAAAAAAGATATTTAGTGAAAAACCTCATATACAAGACAGTTTGAGCAAACATATCATGTTTCTCCACAGAAAATTTGAACTACTGTGTTTCTTACAGAAATCAAATTATCTCCAAAAAACTTTGACATCTCTCACCACGACTGCCCATTTTTAGTATATATACCCACTTTACTTTACCGGTGAAAAAACCACTGATTTTGCATTGGCCAATACATGAATCGACTGTAAATTTTTTCAGAATGCGATTCAATTCGAGGAAGCTAACAAGAAATTATTAAAAATTAAATATTTATATTTTTTTCTTTAACTGAAAAAGTTAGTAACAATCTAATAGGCTGCAGACGAGGAATACATTGCATCCAGTTGGAAATCGTGATGAGTGCGCTCTTTCACACAGACACCTTATTTTTTGAAGAATATCTTTATAATTTAATCTTCCACGATAAGAATTAGAAAATAAATTTTATGAAATAGTGACCTAGTTGAAGGTCGTCTTTAATTGAATGCATAAGTAAATGACTAACAATAATCCAAGCCTGCGCGGATGACGAATTATATATAAAATTATTGATAAAGATTCATAATGATTAATGTGGATTACCATTAATACAAAAAAAAAAGCATTCAATTATTTCTTTATGAAAATCATACTGCAGTTGAATCTTGAATTTTCCTCTCAATTCAATTTTGTACAGAAAAGTAGGAAAATATAATGACTCGAATCGAAGATTTTCATTAGTTCAACAGAACTGCCCGACAAAAATTAACTTTTTTAAAGATAGACATAGACATAGTTAAGGACGTTCTACCCCGTTTTAGCCAAAATTACCGGTTTTTCGAGTTTATTGACAAATTTTTGATCACATTGCCACGAAAAAGTATACTGTTTTCAGATTTTATCATTATTCAAAAATCCATACAACTTGAGCAATTACGTATCAAAATCATTGCACCACATTCATGAAACTGTAAGCCATGAAATATTTCTATACAATAAGCTTTACAGAAAAGCCAAGTCTCCTTATGTTGTCCTAAAGAATGTGTTCTGTCCAATATGTCAATAGGAATCTCAAAAAATTATGGGAAATTCTATAGAAATTCAATAGAATTATTCACCGGATTCTTTAGGTTTTCCGATTGAATTATTTACTGTGTGGTTTCATATAAGAACGTCTCGAAAAAATCCTGTGCATTTATGCCATTTATTTATTGATATAATGGTGTAATAATTCTGATGGCCAAATTATGGGGGTGTTTTTTCCCGTTCAAAAAAGATTATATAAGGTCATACAAAGTAATAAATAAGCACACATGGAATATTTGATGAATTTTAAAAAATGAAATTACTCCCTTGATCAAAAGGAACTCCCTTTTTTTTTAATAAATCAATGTTTTTAGGCTTTCATATATCTTCGAAATTAAATGGGCATTTCTATATTTTTTCATTTTTCATTGGATTGATTTTTCGGTCAATTTCTAACTTTTTCTCAGGAAGTTGAAGTGACAGAGAAATTCGCCGAGCACCATTGAACTGTCACAAAAAAAAATTCAGTCGTGCCTGTTCATGACGAAGCTTATTTTTTTTTAGTTATTTCTGAAATGAGTAAGTTTAGAATGAACAGTAAAGAGCAATTGTTGTGGCAGATTAAATTGTTGACATCAAAAAGTGTGCTGACATTTTCTAGGAGATGTATAGCTGTTATGTATTAATACTTTCATTCCAAACCGGAGAAAAATGGTCTCATTGCGTTGCATCGCTTTATTACTGAATTTAGGAAAAGAATAAAACAGGAAAATCTTAATATGCTAGCTCTCGGATAACCTTCCAGCATTGCAACTAATTTCAGATCGTAATTTATCAATTTGATAGAAATCAATGAACTTAATGAACGCTGTAAAAAAACCACTATGCAAATCAAAGAAATGTCTCATTGCAATATCTGTGCATTAAAAATGGCGTATTGAATATTGTGAAAAAGATGGAAAGAATAATAGAAGTATCAATCTGTCAGTCCATGGCGTAAGTAAAGTATTGTATTAGCTCTCTAATAAAAAAAAAGGAATACGTGAAAGGTTATAAGCTAAAAAGACAAATGAATAATTTCAATACAAATTTTCGTGGAGGCGTTTAAATTAAAGCAAATAACATTTAAAGAATACAATTCTTGCTGTTTTACAACCCCCCTACATGACTATAGTCGGACTGAGGAGATTGTATACTAAGGCCAGCATAAGTTTTTACTTCTCCGGGTACCCCCACTCCACGCAGTTACCACTTGTAACCATGTCCCCCACTCCTAAAATCAATGTTAAAACTTATGCTGACTTCAGTATAGTCTTCGGGTTTTACACGAGGGGTGTGTTCCGCCAGGGAACAGTACAAGTCCAGTAATAGTGATTTCTAGTGCATTTTAGATTTGGTAACTAGCGGTTGGTACTGTTACTGGAGTTGTGTTTCACACGGCTAGTAACAGTAACAAGTGATGTCACTAACTAATAAACAGTGTTCAACGCTGAAGTCTTCCGTTA